ATCTTCCACATATACTTTCACATTACAAAGTTTAAAACGCACGATGTCCAAGGAATTTTGGATTAAAAGTCTAATAAGACGATTTTCTCGATTTTCTTTGATCTTCTTCCATACAAAATGTAGTAGTACGAACTGATTTTTCATTATTTAAATTACGGAAATTTATGTTATAAATATGATACAAAAATTCAAGTTATGATTATGATTAAAATATTATATGTGTAAGTTCAAATGACCAGAGTTTAGTATCGCTACACATGAAAATTATAACCACGAAGTTCGGATTTTAATTCCAGTATCTCCATATGTATGTTATAATTTTTCGTATTTAAATATAAAATGAAGCTATTACTCATTTACTGAAATTTATGTCTTATATGTATATGTTAAATTTTTTATAGGTAACTAAAAAGGAAGGTTCGAGACGATTGGTGGTGGATTTTGCTTACGTGGGTGAAAAAGGATGAATAAGTTATGTAGTTAAAGATTTTAATAATGTTCATTTTTTTTTCTTAAAACTAATATTAAATCCTCGCATGTTAAGAAAACATTATCATTTTTTTTGTTTATGAAAGTATTATTTTACGAAATATATATAATGATTCCAAAGGTACAATTTTTTTTAACTACCCGGTCTCTATATTCTAATCGTTAGCTTACGTACTATCCACTATGGGTAATCTATGCTTACTTACCCCTCACGGCTTTCTATCGCATCCCCAAATATTCGAACTCAAGACCTCTGTCTGATGAGAGATTTAAATTAAATCCTAGTACCAGTTGGAAACACAAGTTTTTTTGTAATGACCCGGTGCCTATACACAAACTGTTATATCATATGTACTATTCGTATTGGATGGACATCACCCACATACTCTCTCAAGGCTTTCTATCGCATCCCCCATGATTCAAATCCAAGACATCTACCAATGAGAGATTTAAGTTAAATCCCGGTATCCAAACTTTTAGCTTACGTACTGTTCGCTTTGGGTAAACCTATGCCCACTTATCCCTTCATGAATTTTTATCGCATCTCCTATGATTAAAACCCAAGACCTCTGTCTAATGAGATACTTAAATTGAATCCTAGTACCAATTTTTCATTAGGCAAAGATCTTGCGTTTGAATCCCGAGAGATGCAATAAAAATTCGTGAGGGGATAAGTGAGCATATACTCATCCAAAGCGGATAGTATGTAAGCTAACGGCTTAGGTATAGAGGCATGGATCGTTACAATCAAATTTGATTAATTGGATTAATTAAATAATGAATCAGGTTAAGTTTAAAAGATGATCTAAGCCCACTTGAACTTTTATTAATAGGTTGTTAGGGTTTGAAAATTCATAATACAATACAATTATATTCTTGCTAGTACTTGAAAAGAAAACTTTAGTTCTCTCAATCTTGTTCACTGTATGGATTTTCATTGGAGATTGGATAATTGTGAATTGCAGATTAGAACTGTTCTTCAAGAAATTCATCAAATGTATAATTTCCTTGCTAGTTGACTTCTATTGACTCTTTAGGAAAATAATATCTTATTTATGATAGTATTTTTCTCATCTAAAGATCGAAATTGCAAGGTTAAACTTGATGATTGAAGTTTGTATTAAATTTGTTGATTTAAACTTGTATTGAAACAAATATATTAGTATTGTAAAATTTATGTATGGAAGAACTCAATTTTGCAACCCGTTTGTCCCCCTTTCTTTCAATTTTTAATGTTTGAAATAATATTTTTTTGGAGAATGTGTAGTTAAAAATAAAATAAATTTTTTCGATTTACGTGTAATATTATTTTATGAAAGATTGTGTGGTTTAAAAATAAGATTGAGAAAAAAATGAGAATGAGAAAAAAGACCAAATTGGGCTGAAATTTGTTGAAAATTGAGATCAACTCTCTTTAATTTGCCCACATGGTCCTTATCCAAAGAAAAACAAATGAGAAAGAAAAAGTCAAAAAATATGGACGAAAAATTATGGTATGTAAAATCTTTCAATTATTATATGAGAAATACTTGCATTCATACCCAATTTTCCCTCACCAAATGCACCAAGTAGGGTAAAAATTATTCTAAACTTTATCACGTCCATCAATTTCAATCCTTGAACAATTCACAAAGAAAACCAGAATGCTAGGTTCACAATTTTTCCTCTTAAAAACCCTCGTATCAAGTATACAAAATATCTTTGCTTCGAAGAAATAAGAAAGGGGCGAAAACTGCACAATGAAGTACTCTTTATTTGTTTCCAATTTACCATTGATGTCCTTTTACTTCCTTCACTTTTAGTTTTGAGGCAACATTTCTCACAATTTCCATTTTATTAAAAAACAAGGCATTTTTTTTCCCGTTTCTTTTACAATTCTCAATCGTGATGCTTGAAAAATTGGTTAACTTTGACAAACTTTAGAGTCCTTATATTAAAATCAAAGATAAACACGAGTACAATCACTTAGGGTCCGTTTGATTGCAAATGTGGAATTTAGGTGGAAAGAAAATGAATTACAGGGAATTGAATTGCCCAAAATTTGTTTTATTGAGAATTGTAATTAATTGTGTTTGATTGGTATAATTTTCCACCTAAAAAATGTTGAAAGTTTGGTGCCCGTTTGACTTCGTTTTTCATGAAAATTGTCCATTAAAATGACAATTTTTTTACCATTTGGTCTAGAACTTGTTCCCATTGCCCAAAATTTTTTTTTTACCATACTGGCTTTATTTTGCATAAAAATTGTCAATAAAAGTGATAAATTTTTTTACCATTGTGTCTAGAATTTTTTCCAATTGCAAAAAAAAAGGGTAACTTGGAAAATTTTTTCCCACCAAAGTGGTGGGAATTCATTTTCAACAAAACCATGGAAATTGTGCTCATGTAAGGGAAACCAAGAAAACCATTTCCAAGGGAAATTATTGCTATCAAACATTGCAAAAGTGGAAGTTGGAATTGGTTTTCCATTTTCCATGGAAAATCTTGTACAATCAAACATAGCCTTAGTTTCAACCTTGCATGTTCACTAGTCATCTCTAAAGTTTGGAGAATTGATTTGAATGAGTGTTAGTTCGTTAGTGATACAATTAGATTATGTTTACATTCTTCTCTTCGAACTTGAAAAATAGGACTTATGGGGCTATTTCGGAATGTAGTTGATAACTTGAAGTTATAATATTATAGATTATTTTAATATTAAAGATTGTAGTACGAGATTGTGTGTGTTAAGCTTATCAATTTGAGGACCATGTTTGATATTAGATGGTAACACAAGTTGTTTGCCACCTTTAAGTGGAAAAGAGACTTGTCTTACACCTAGTAGAAAGCGCGCACACAAAGGCAAAAGGTAAGTAAGTGTGTATGGTAAAATATTCTCTTTTAATCATTGTCGTGACTTTTTTATAACTTGATAATAAACTTATTGTATATCTTATGTTTGTCATGATGGTTCAGTATTTGTTTTAAAAAACATATTGGCAGCCATTTTGATTGAGTATGCTATTCATTAGCATTTGCACATGCATGCACAACATATGTCCATAATTTACAATCTAGTATGCGTGACATGATTGAAAAAAGGAATTTACGTTATAAAATATTTTATTGACCATTACTAATGTTGGGAATTTACTTAACATGTACAGCG